TCAGCTGTTTGGACACTCATTCTGACGGCACCCATTCACTGGGTGCTAGCTGCTGAATTTCTCCAAATCTGTTCTGACGAAAAAACAAACTCATCTGCATCTTGGAAGGCCTGGGGGTGAGTAACTTCTCAGCAAACAAACAGATATAGAGATACTTGCAACTAATTGGCTTTAATGAAGTACAACAGAAGTCATTAGAGTCTCATACATGATAAGAAACAAACATGCATGAGTGTGTGTGTGTGTGTGTGTGTGTGACCTGTTCGGTACAGCTGCAGTGCCGGCAGCAGGTGTGTGGAGTGCAGCTGTACACGCAGTGCTGGGACATTAAAGCCACAGCCATCTGTCTTCACACTCAAACACTGCAGGAAGACCGGCCGCGCTCGCCGAATCAGATTCACCAGAGCATCCTGCTCAGAGAGAGAGAGAGTCACGGAAAGAGTCAAGAGGATTTACAGACAAAAGGCAGATGGAAACGGCTGGCTCATTTGTTTCTCACCGCCTGCAGTTTGACGGCGATGCACTGCGAATGTCTCCTGAGGGCCGCCATCCCACCGCTCAGAGTCTTCCGCACCGTGCCACATCTCTCCAGAGAGCGCTGCGAGCCGCCCTCCACACCTCCCAAACCCCGGCACAGAGGCGGCACGGACGCCCGCCCACTGAACAGGGCCTTCACCGCTCCACTAAGAAGAGGAACAAGAGGGAGAAGGAGAAGAGAATTAGGGAGTTGTTAGCATGAACCCACATCCGTTTGACTTCATAATTCGGTGTGTTTTTAATTGGTTAGGAAGCATTTTTTCAAGTTCATGTGCACTCCAGTGAGGTTTACAAATGGTATGAAAGCCATGTGGCATGTTTAGTACACATGAACTACAGTACTGATGATATAAAAGTCATTAGTATTAATAAAAAGTGAATTTATCTCTCCATTATATCAATAAAAGTGGCAAAAAAAGCATGTGGTGCCATGAAAAAACACATATAGTATTTCCAGACATAGCTTAAAAGCACAGAAAAATGGCAATAATTAATTAAATTAAACATTTATAAAAACAATTAAATTAAACAATGACATTTTTTATTCAAATTAACGTCTATTCCGTATTATAACGTTACACATAACCTACTACAGTACTGATAACGTAAAAGTCATTCATATTAATAAAATGTTGATTTCCTGTTACCTCTCTATTATTAAAAATCAATAAAAGTGCCAAAGAAATAGTATATGGTGCCAGGTATGGCATCACTAGATATAGTTTAGAGAACAAATATCAAAATGCTTGTTATACAGTAAATATTTTTACATTTTATTTTCATCTTAATTTAAGTTTTTTAAACAATTAGATGAAACAATTGAATGTCTTTCAAGTTAAATTAGTTTTAAATCATCTCTAGATATAGTTTGCAGAACAAAAAGCAAAATGGTAGAATTTATAAATATGGGTGGTCATTTTTTTTTTATTTAATGTATGCAATACAATTCAATGTCATGTTATTTAATTTAATCTAAGTTTCTAAGGACACTTTCATACTAGAGGTTTTGCTCAAATAAACATCTGAATATTGAACTTTGCAAATTAAAATGCGAAAAAAAAGTTAGTTGTATATTAGTTATAAATATAGGTGGTAATATGTATTTTATTTAGTTTTATACTTTAATTTTAATTTAAAAAAAAATTTTTTAATTATACAATTAAACAATATAATTAGTTTTAAGTTCATGTGCACTCCAGTGTGGTTTACAGCTGTTATGAAAGCAATCTGGCATGGTTTGTACACATAAACGACAACAGTATTAATGTTGTATGCTGCATTTCTACAGAGGAGCTGTGTTGAGTGAGCTGCATGAATTCTTTTCATCGCTTGCTATGCATTTTTAGTACAACTGAAAAAGAACAAAAATGGAAAGCAAACAAGCACTTTTTTCTAAAAGTTGTCGACACCAAGCTCATGGTAGCCCTCACACTGATGCCGTCTGTGTTCACACTTGTCTTTATTGCGGCACGTTTGCGTCATCAGCGTGAATACCATTGTGAGCACTAGCAGCAGATGTTTATCCCTGTTGCTAGGTAACAGTTCAGAAGGACAAGACACCAGTTTCACTGTGATTTTGATTTATCACCAAAACTGAACACACACAGCACTTGCGTTTGTCTGCTGTAGACGTAGCGCAAAAGATCCGTAGAATGTGAGATGCTTTCCAACAGTAATTTATTCAGTGACAAGCAGCTATGAGAAATGCGTTATACTATATTAAATGAAGTGTGAAAGAATGCAAAAATGCTGATTATACGTCATAAATGTCACTTCTGTGGTTAAGGATGGACTGTTGTCATACTAATTCACATGAACCAAACACCAGACGATAAAATAAAAAATAAAAAATATTACTAAAAATAAAATATATTTATTTTATTTCATTTTCTGAAATAAACGTATTATATAACCTTTTATTTTCTAATATATTTTCTAATATATATTAGTTCACATGAACCAAAAACATTCAATATTTTAATATAATTCATATTTTAATAATACTCATGAATAATGTCAAATTATCAATAACTTTCAGAAATACCTTTAACATTTTATTTTAATTTTGCAAGATTAAATATTCAGAATTTTATTGAGGAAAAGCCCTTGTATGCAAGCACTTTTAGAAGTCAACCATACAGCACTGAATAAAATAAAATAAAATAAAAACTTTAACATTTTATTTTAATTTGCAAGATCCAATATTAAGAATTTTATTTGAGGAAAAGCTCTTGTGCATCAAGGAAAAGCTCAACAGTGCAAACAAAAACGAAACAAAACAACACAAAACAAAACAAAAAAACAAAACACAACACAACACAACACAACACAAAACAACACAACACAAACAAACAAACAAAAAATCACACATTTAACTTTAACATTTTATTTTAATTTGCAAGATCCAATATTAAGAATTTTATTTGAGGAAAAGCTCTTGTGCATCAAGGAAAAGCTCAACAGTGCAAACAAAACGAAACAAAACAACACAAAACAAAACAAAAAAACAAAACACAACACAACACAAAACAACAAAACAACACAACACAAACAAACAAACAAAAAATCACACATTTATAACATCTACATGTATTTCCTTATGTTTTACTACCATTTTTGGTATTTGTTCTATAAATTATTTATAAATATCATGCCTGCTATTTTTCTTGGCACCTTTATATAAAATTGGAGAGATTACTTAAAATTGTAATATTATATTATATTTCTATTTAATATAATAATGAATATTTTAGTAATCCTAATGAATAGTAAACAATTTATTTAAAATTGAATTGGCAAAGTTCAATATTCCGAATATTATCTACTAGAGGTCATCTACAGCAGTGTAAACGTCTGTGATCATCTGCAGTCTCTTACATTGAGGAGTTCTGCAGGAGGGAACTGGCGTTAAGGACAGAGGGGTTGTTCTGGACCTGACCGAACCAGCCTGAGAGATCATAGCGGACTGGATCTGAACCCATCAGGTGAGCGATCTCACACTGCAGAGGCTGCTCGCACTGGCGCACTGAGGAGCAAGCGAGCAGAAAGATGAAACCTGAGGAAACATCTCAAAAAACATGAAAGCAGCAGGTCAGGATCAGGCTGGAGCACCTGTGCCGCTGAAGAACTGACACACTCTTTCCAGAACCGTGCTCTCGGTGGAGCCCGGAGTGACCATCTCTTCATCCAGAACCCACAGGAGACCTCGTGAGTCGCCTTCTGGTCCTCGAACCTGAGAACGCACACAGACGCACACTGTGAAACTACACGCGTGACTGACGAGTGTAAGAAGTGTGCTGAGGATCGGTGAGTGATACCTGCACTCCAGGCTGGTCAACAGCACACACCACCTCTGACGGGCTCGTCTCAGGGGCTGTGAAATCAACAGCTACTCCCTCCTGTGAAAATTACTCAGAAACTTAATAATGATCTGAAATTAAAAATGTCATTTCTTGTCATCTCT